GATATGCTATTCCATACATAACCCCCCTATACTTACTTTATGAATCAATAAAAAATTTACAATTTTTAATTATAAACCTGTGTTTTCTATCAAAATTACTTCTTGCGTGAATTTTGGGACACCCTATATATGTACAGGGCCAGGCAGACCCACCTGGGCCTGTGCCTGGGTGTGCCATGGTGAAAGGGCGGGCACCCTGGGCACATGCCTGTGCAGATGTGACTGCAGGTAGGGTGTGTGACCAGGAGCAGTGGTGTGAGGGGGCACAGAGCCCCTGCCAGGCCTCTAAAGGGAGGGACCTGGCCTCACACCCCAGCCCTGAAGCCCACCTTCCAGGATCATCGTGGGAACAACCCAACCCATGTGGGAGCTGGGGCACCAGGGCGAGGCTGGCTGGGGTGGAAGGCTGGGACCTCCAGGGACCCCAAGTGGCAAATGTCTCCACAAAGGCAGCCACGTCCAGCTCCCCCTAAATGCCGTTATCAGCTCAGCGTGGCTGGGGGTGGGCCAGGGCACCAGGCATCTCTAGTGGCCACTATGGCTGCTGGGCTGAGGTGGTCTGAGCTGCCCACAGCCCAGGCTGCACCCCTGGTGTGGATGGAAACTCCTCCATCTTGGGGTGTCTGTGTGGCTGTGACCAGGGCAGGACTACGCCTCCAGGGCCCTCCCCATCTCTCACTGCCCGCAGCACTCCCACTCTGAGGGGCCAACAGCTTAAAAAAGAGCTCTTTATTCCACATTGCCCAATATTTTTACACAAGTAAAATAAAATGCATTTTTTCTGTATATCGTGGGCCGGCGGGAGGCAGTGTTCTGGAACAAACACTGCCGCTGCTCCCTGTAAACATGATGGAGTGGAGATGGGGTGGGGGGTTGGGAGGCGTCCATCAGGGAGGGCCTGGCTCCCGGTGCTGGCTGGCAGCATGGAGGGGACCCCGTATGTACACACACCTGGCTACTGAGGAAGGCCTTGCTCTCAATCGGGGGCTGGTCAGCAGGGCCTGAGCACGGTCCACAGCACCAGCGCCAGGCCAAGGGGGGCGAGGCTGCAGGCGAGGCCAGGAAGGGCACCTCTGCCCTC